TTATGTAATAACAAATTATTGTCTAGTTCAGTACTTGTGGGAATTTTAGATAATTCTGTTGAATTTATTGCCTAAATCTTACTGTCATTTTAGAAAATGTCTAAAGTTTTCAGGCATTTTACAAAATGCCTTAATTGAGAAAATGCCTGTAACATATACACAAGATCACCAAAAAGTATTTCATATTCGGTCAAATCTTATTTTTTTATCAGATTTGATAATGTTACTTTTTTGCAAACTATTTATCTTATTAGACAATTCCGCTGAAATTAGCTATATTGGCACTGTCAATGACGGAATACGAATTCCAAAATTCGTATCTGCTATTTTTTCATATTTCCACGTATTTTTACATCCCTTATTTTCAAATGTTTATGTTTGATGTTCCTGGTGAAGGTAAATCCATAAAAGCGCTTCGGACGCACGAAATGTATATGTGCTATTATCATTTCACGCTATTATTCAGCATAAAAACGGGGGAAAGATACCAAAGGGATAATCAAATTCATAGGTCGTAAACGAGGGCAAAAAAAAAAAAAAACGAAAATCCACCAAAAGACAAACAACAGTGCGCAAAACACGACATAGAAAACTAAAAACTGAACAACACGAACCCCACAAAAACTGGGGGTGATATAAGGTGCTCCGGATGGGGAAGCAGATCTTGCTCCACATGTGGCACCCGTCGTGTTTCTCATGTAAGTACCAACCCGGTAATAAGTCCAATTCGGTAGGTCACATTCGAGGAAAAGAAGACAGAATTGTGAATACGACAATTGGAACATATCCGTCGTCATCTGTGAAACTGATATTCTAAAACGGTCAACTGGCTTGTGATGGCATCCGTAAAAATTACGAAGGGATGATTTCAACTTTACCACTTGGAACACTTGGCTTAAATGCTTCCTTGTCAGCAGCAATCCTCTATCAAGGAAATCATGATAGGAAATGCATACATGTATAAAAGAATGCGAAGTTAAAACCTCGTGACCGCTTTTTTTCAAGCAATTATTCAGGAGGTTTATAACTTTAGATTGATAGTGGAAAGACAGATTAAAATAAACAAAACACATGTAAACTATGCTGATATCAGGTTGTTGTCAGCAACCAATATATAAAACTGGTAATATCATCCAAGTGTATATCTACTGATTATACCACCACTATATATACGGTATTTGGAAGGCCATATATATATAAAGCTTTATTTATATAGAGCCTAGGTGGTCGAGTGGTCTAGCGCGTCGGGCACAGTGCAAGGCGATTTAGTGCGACGATATCTCAGTAGCATGAGTTCGAATCCCGGCCGGGAAGAACAAAAAAAAAATTGCTTCCGCAAATTTACAGATCTAACATTGTTGGGCTGTTGTTTAGACGAATTATATATAAATCTTACGGGGCATATATATATATATATATATATATAGATAGTGGCAAAAATAAACGGATAAAAATATAATGTATACTCTTTCATGAGCATCCTTTGTAATCCTTGGTCTGTGTCCTGAAAAAGTGTAATTGTTGGAAATGATTGAACCTATATATAAGTCAACATGTTATAATTGTTCGTTATCCATTGTTAGCGATGGATTTATAATCTACAGGCTGTGATAAAATAAGAGCTTCATTTTTGGAAAAAATAGGATTCTGTCATACACTTGAAAGTAAAGGAGCCGCGCTTTTATTGATGCTCATCATCTCAACGACACAGTGTTCAACATGGAGTAAAAGCTCACACTTTACTGTCTATATCAGGATCTGGGACTAGTCTTTTGGTCCAAGGTCGGAATATAGGAACATACGTTTACATATTTTTATCTTTACGAGTTTGGGTTGGGTAAGTGTTGCTTAATGATTATGCTTTCGTATTTTTTCTGTATATTTACTGTATATTTAATTAGTTCGAGAGATTCAACATTTGTATAACACAAATCATTTATTTTGTACGTTATTTATTATGACGCTGCTATTTTAGTATTAAATCAATCGAAAGGTAATTCGACCAATATAAGTATGTAAGAAAGTAGGACTTCACAACAAAGTACTTTAAACTTATTTTTTCATCTAGAATGGGAGAATGAAAAAACCCGACTACAGTTCCCTCTGTCGCATTGACTTTCGTTGTTACTTATCCCGACTTTAACTCTAGAAGCAACTTCAGTATTAGACCGGCACCTTAATGTCAAAAGAAACGTTTTTACTCTGTCCACTTTTTAGCAGCATTATACTAACTTGCGTAGGTGGTATATATTACTCCTTTCACGTGACATGCTGCCAAGGAGATGTTGTTCAGTCGTCTTCAACTTATGGGAAATAGAAAAGAAGATAATCAGTCAATGTCTTATCGGACAACGCCCTTGTCCATTTTGAAACAACCACAGGACTGCATATTCAATTATAAAGATACTTTGACTCACCATGACAAATTCTTATTGCCTGGTGATAGTATTTTGGAGATGGTTCTCTTTCAACTTTTTTTTTTATCAAGTCTCCGAGTAATTTTTTTCTCTCAGAATTCCGGAACTATAATCGGCTGTCATAAAAATATAAGGTTCGACACAGCAACAGGTTCTACAGCAATTTCTCTGAAAAATGCTCGTACCAAGTCAGGAATATGTACCCAGCAGGCACACAACGTTGAACCAACGTTGAAAATATGTTGAAATTTGGTTGTAGCGTTGATCAACGTAAAATCAACGTTGTATCAACGTCAATCCTATCAACGTTTAAATCACGTTGTTGAATCAACGTTGATCTGTGGTTAGAAATATCAACGTTGAACTTTCAACGTTGAATCAACATTGATTTGAGTTGATGCCTTCAATGCTTTAATTGGTTGAAAATATAACGTTGATAAAAGGTTTAGTTAAGGTTGATGACTTTAAGTGTCGACCAAAGTATCATTCAAGATGAGATTGAACCAACTTTGTATAGTCCTTTTAGCTAAAATAATCACTTTTTATTTATATTGGTTTACTGATGTTTTTGAATAAATTCAGTTATTACTGTTGCATATATAAATTAATCTTTAAATTGCGATAAAAATATTATAATTACTCGAAACGGATATCTTTTTCTGATTGGCGCATGCGTATGAGGCCGACATTTCAAATTTATTTGCGCCAATTTGATTATCACATCAAGTTAACAGTTGCTCTCAGCAGTGCAAAGTAAGTATAATTTTCATTTATTGTTTGATTTGATATAACTGATAATTTAATGTATACAATTGTGTAGCTGTAACTATATGAGTATAGTGATTTAAGCAGATCAGAAATAATTTATAATTATACACGTAGTTGTCATATTCCAGCAGATAAGATACACACATATTGTTTAGGTCTCTGGGAACATCAATGTTGACCTTAAGATATATTTGTACATTTATTGGGTGAGGCAACTTATTATGTAAAGACTTGAAAAAGGGGGAGTGTGTTTATGAACAATTATTAGGTAATTAAAAACAAAATCGTATGGCAAAGAATTCTATCATTGCAGATATTGGGAGGGTGGAGTCAAAATATATCATGGAACATCGGATGAAATTGAAGAATTTATTCGTCTTGCAAATAATGATGATCAATTATTGAAGTTCACATATGTTCTTTTACATGTTTTATATGTTGATATAATTAAAAGTCAAAGATTTACAACACATGGCATTCTTGACCTCGCAACACATTTAAAACAAAGAAATTCTTTTCTCTGGGTCAGAATTAATAGATGTCACTCACAGCATGTATTCTGAGGATTTATTAATGAAGCAGTACGGCAGATAAGAAACATGTGTGACCATAACAAATTAATACACAATGATCTGACTAATTTCAAAGTGGTTTATATGATAACGTCGAAAAAGATGTTCTTTCAGTTGACCGTATTGAATTATTACAGCGCAAAAAAAAATCAAGGAAATAAAAAATATTCCTTTAGTTTCAATATCTAAACTTTATCCATATGCATGTTAACGTAAACTTAAATAAGACGTAACACAAAAGACGTACTGGAATTTATTGAAGTTTGAAGAAAAATGTAAACACAGGTTCAAAGTTGAACTACTTCTTGCGTTTAGCAACCATGCCGAAAGTATCTATTGATGAAGAATTTAGATGTAAAAAGACATATATATTAATATAGTTAATTATACGGGAATTATATTTATTTTGAATTATATTAAAGTCAAGCATCTTAAGATGACCATCCAAAGCTTTATATATCTGCCGAAACACTAAAAAAAAGTATATATAGGGGCATTCTTGTATCTTAAGAGGAGTGACTGTCAAGATCTCGGTGCTTGTGGTGCATTATTGTTTCGCAAGATGAGTGACTGTCAAGATCTTGGTGCTTGCGGTGCATTTTTGTATCTCAAGATGAGTGACTGTCAAGATCTCGGTGCTTGTGGTGCATTGTTGTTTCTCAAGATGAGTGACTGTCAAGATCTCGGTGCTTGTGATGCATTATTGATTCTCAAGATAAGTGACTGTCAAGATCTTGTTGCCTGTGGTGCATTATTGTTTCTCAAGATAAGTGACGGTCAAGATAAATAAAATTGAAACCCCATTAGCGTATTCTGAGATCTTCAAACTATAATTTAGGATTAAAATTAGTTATAATTAAGATAAAATAAAATTGATTCTCAGAGGCAGAGCTGGGGACGGTGCCGGGCACCCCTTTTGAGGGAAAAAATGGTTGATTATATAAGGAATCAATGAAACATGACTGGAGCGGCCCCCCCTTATGCAGTCAGTGGACCCCCTTATGAAAATTTCTGGATCCGCTACTGATTCCAGAATCTTGTTGGATTATGGAGGACAAATTTAACGTCATGCTACAATAAAAATAATTGAACCATAAGGTTTTCAAACAATTTATGAAAGGTTTTGGAAGTCAAACTTTTGTAAGCGTTTCACACATATGATTTTTTTTATTTTCAAGTTAAAGAGGAAGTTGACAATTTAGAAATGCTGCACATAATTTTTTTTTTTTTGTAGATGTCCGAGTTACAAATAAACCCGTGTCGGAAATAACATATTACCGGGTATAAAGAATAAACATGCCTTCGGTGATTCAAGTTAGTTTGAAATAATAAGAGGTGAGTATTGACACAATATATATCATTGTTTTTCCATATTACAAATTGTGTGAGATTTTGTCACTTTGTCTCTAAAATCTTTGTTTTTTTTTTAGAAATATTTTTATTTTCTCATGTCTGAACTCAAGTTAAAAAAAAATCATGGTCGCTCTCAATAGATGTTTAAAGAAATAACAATAGCATTGCACAGAGATTATTAGGGCCCCGCCAAATGGCGGACGCCCTATAGTGATCAGTCTGTCTGTCCGTCTGTCCGTCCGTAACACATTGTGTCCTCTCTATATCTAGAGAACCGTTATGATTTCAAAGTTTATACTTGACATGTATATCAACCAACACCAGAGGGTGTGTCATAATGTATGTACAACTTCCTAGGTCAAAGGTCAAGGTCAAAAACTTTGGTTTCAGTTGAGAACCTCATGTCCTATGGTAAAGATCGTGTCCGCTCTATATCTTGAGAACCGTTATGATTTCAAAGTTTGTACGTGACATGTATATTAACAAACACCAGAGGGCGTGTCATAATGTATGTACAGCTTCCTATGTCAAAGGTCAAGGTCAAAAACTTTGGTTTTAGTTGACAACCCCATGTCCTATGGTAAAGATCGTGTCCGCTCTATATCTTGAGAACCGTTATGATTTCAAAGTTTATACTTGACATGTATATAAACCAACACCAGAGGGTGTGTCATAATTTATGTACAACTTCCTAGGCCAAAGTTCAAGGTCAAAAACTTTGGTTTCAGTTGATAACCCCATGTCCTATGGTAAAGATAAAAAAAAATGTAATGCACATTATTCACAGCGGGGCCCACAGAGATGGCTCCCATCTCAATGATATCTAGTTTGTTCACATATAATAGTAGTATTCTTTATTAGAGCTGCATAATGATATTTACGAAGTTATGATAAAGATAGCACAATATGTTTTTTTCTGTTGCAGATGCTGTAGTTACAAGTGACTTATGTGCAACAGAGACCACAATATGGAACTACTGTGCAAGATACCTAAAATATGCCCCTGTTATATCTGGGAATGTGTCTAGCAGAAGGACTAAACTTTTAAATAAAATTAATTGTTCAGTTTGTGTTTGTTTAAAATTGTAAGATGCATATGTGAGCAACTTGTTATATAATTACTGTTTTATGTCACAAACATATTTTGTGTATTAACAGAATAGTTATAAGCACAACAAGATCCTGTCTATAAAGAAAAATAAAGTTACAAAAATGTATGCAAACTGACACTACAATAAAGTTTCTGATTATCTATGCCTGGTAAGGTTAACATGGTTAATAAATTGTTCCTGTTCTTCTTGTCAAGTCTTGAATAATAAACATCAGATTCAGAACTGAGTGGTCTCCTTACCAGTATTACCGAAACAAAGAGAAAGACTTATTTTCCACTTGATCATAAAATGTAAAGAAATTTAAAAAGGGAAATATTCGAACAGGCAGAAATTTCAATGACATAAATATTGAATTCTGCAACAGACTACATGTGTACATCAACCACCGACGCATGACTACTCCCACTTAGTACATATAGTTTTGCGATAGTTTTATTACACATAAAATGGTATTGATGGATATAATAAGGGGTAATGATTTCAGCTGTTATCAAACCTCAATTTAACCAATGTTCAACATCCTATTCTCAACATTGACCACATTTCTAGTTTCAACTTAAATTAACCCTAAAACAGTCTACCTGGACCCAAATCCTACCTATTTTCAACATACACTGACCACAGTTCAACCAGCTTTCGACCTGATTTCAACATACACTGACCACAGTTCAACCAACATTCGACATGTTTTCAGCATACATTGACCACAGTTCAACGAGCTTTCGACCTGATTTCAACATACACTGACCACAGTTCAACCAGCATTCGACCTGATCTCGACGTACACTTACTACAGTTCAACCAATATTCGACCTGATTTCAACATACACTAACCACAATTCAACCAGCAATCGACTTTTTTTCAACATACACTGACCAAATTTAGACCAAAATTCAACCTATTTTCATCGTTGAAAGCTAACGTTGAATCAACGTTATGTTTTCAACGTCATATCAATTTTCAATCCAACACTACTTTTCAACATTGATTCAACGTTGAAATCTGACGTTTATTCAATGTTGAATCAACGTTGTTGTGCCTGCTGGGTAGTCTCTTCCTGTTATTTTCCGTTTTCATTGGATGTTTAAGAACTGTTCACTGTGAAACCTTTAAAAATTACCAACAGCGTATGCAAAAGCTTCTATACAAATTTCATAAAATCCATTTAAAATGTGAGAAGAAAATTTACAACATAGACTCCATTTACGTTCAAAAGCATTCGTTTCAGACCTTTCGGAAAAGCTCCTGTGTAGAATTCATTAACACATATAAGTGCTTATAAGAGGATTTTGCCAAAGTCTACAGAAATGTTTGACCTGCATTCACCTAAAGGCCAAAGTGAGACATTTTTGCCTTAGTTTTATTCAAAGGGGGCTACGTCCGATGGATACACGGTGTTGTGATTGCAAATTGCCTTTATATAATCAACTTTCATTTCATGTTAAATGCTGTTCTTGGTTAACTTTTACTTTCAACATTTATATGTCGAATAAAAATGCATGTACTTTAAATGAGCCATCTAAAAGTACAAGACAAGTAATTCATTAAATCTCTATTAAACTGGAAAATCAATGTAAAATTATATGATTTGAATATTTCATAAATATATATTATGATAAAACAACCATATGTTACTTATAAATAAATTCTTAAAAAATATTTCAAATTATTTTTCTAATGCAAACTGTTGTTGATTAAAGCTTTTGAACAGCTGCCGTTGTAATTACATATTTTACCGAGGAAAAAATATCGTTTTTAATAAATTTATAATCTGATTTGAATTATATCTACCGAAAATTAAATTCGAGTTATATTTAATGCATTATTAAGTTGTAATTTATGGTTGTTTGCATTTAACGTTTACCGTGAGTCAACCTTATCGAATGAATGGATAAATATTTTGTTCAAATTGATTTCACAGCTGAAGGGAGGGAGCAAGGATTGTTGCACTTTTTTTTTAAAGGGAAAAGCAATGTCCATGCCCCCTTCCTTCATATACTAAATTCTGAAAAATAAAGCATTTTGTTTAATTTCAATCTCTTTTTAATGCAAAAATTGTAGCCTTGCGTTCTAGAACTGATTCTTTAAAAGAGGGACGAAAGATACCAGAGGGACAGTCAAACTCATAGATCGAAAAAAAACTGACAACGTCATGGCCAACAATAAAAAGACAAACAGACAAATAATAGTACAGATGACAACAAAACATAGAAAACTAAAGACTAAGCAACACGAATCCCACCAAAAACTGGGGGTGATCTCAGGTGCTCCGGAAGGGTAAGCAGATCCTGCTCCACATGTGGCACCCGTCGTGATGCTCATGTTATTACAAATCCGGTAAATAGTCTAATTCGGTAGGTCACATTCGTGGAAAGGGAAGGGTATTGTAGTTACGACATAAGGAACATATCCGATAGCATCTGTGAAACGGTTATTCCATAACGGTCAACCAACTCGTGATGGCGTCCGTAAAATTTACGAAGGGATGATTTCAACTTCACCATCTGGAACTCTTGGTTTAATAGCTTCCTTGTGAGCAGCAATCCTCTATCAAGGAAATCATGATAGGAAATACAAGCCCGTGAATATCGTATCAATTGGGAGATATATACTCCGTATGCAGGCGCTGCTGGAATGTTGCTACATAGAAATGGAAAGTTCACAATTGGGAAGCTGAAATCATTTAGTTGTATGCATGAAATAAATGTTAAAAACAGGTTAAAAGATGCTTGAATTGGTACTGATCTTTAAGCAGGAATTTTGATTGTGGACAGCTTAGAAAATTGCGTAAATGTGAAAAATGTCGATGAAACTGTATTTAAACAGTGTCCCTATTTTTCGCTTACTTTTCATGGTTTAAAAGTTGTACTAAAAAGAAAAGACTGTTTGTATAAAAAGGTAGTTTTACGGTAATTCCAAAACCAAGCCTTCATAATCATGACAGTGGTTCTTCACCCTGCAATTGGGGATGCGCTCTAGCAGGACCATTGATTGGTAAGCAAAAACTCGAACAGTAAAAACAGGCAGACATATTTAACAAATCATAAAAATAATAGCCGAGTTAAAAAAAATTATAAATGATTGGAAATGATTATATCTTTATGGATTGTTTTCTTTTAACCCATTGGAAAAGTTCTTCTGTTGTGTAATTGATTTCATTTCTTACAATCGACCCAAAAGTGGTAACTGATGCAGATACTAATAGTTTACTAGTACTTTGTTAGTATATGTACTACTAAGAATATTGATTTACGTTTGAGTGACTAGATAGTTCTAGAATTACATTCACTTACTAAGTACTAAAACTTGAAATAATTTGAATGAATGTATGCTTTTGAAGTTTACCTATGCAAGTTTGTCCGACGGGTTTATTGTTATACATTTACAATTACACAAACTTGCAATGGTTATATGTATTTTAATGTGTAATGGTGAATGTTATTTGTAAGTTATAAGTGCTTTAAAGTCGGTCCTGAATGGCTAATATAGAATTGATGTTGATATTGTATGTTTTGGGAGCAAAAGGAAAAACAATCAGTAAAAGCAACTGTAGCTAAATATGTTCTTTTTTTTATAACAAGAAATGGAACGACGGCACATAATTTTGAAAAGCAGGGTCAAAATTTGTTCCCTACTGCAGGGAGCCAGGTAAGGTATCCACTGTTGTCAGTTGAATACGTTCGGGCCATAATTCACTTTGTTACACGTACGCTAGAGGTACGCGTAACAGGTCGTTCACGTATCCTAGAGGTACACGTAACACTTTGTTCACGTACCCTAGAGGTACACGGAACACTTTGTTCACGTACCCTAGAGTTACGCGTAACTAATTGTTCACGTACCCTAGAGGTACACGTAACTGTTTGCTCACGTATGCGGAATAACCTTTATACCCTATGCACAATGAACTCGTCTGCTGGAGAATACCCCTCTACATTACTAAAAGTAGATTCATAAATTTCAATTAATAATATAACGGTGCTAAATTTAGCATTTTGTCGTTCAAAAAAATATACTGTACAGGTTAAACAGCACGTTACTTAAAATAGATTCATAAATTCCAATTAATAATATAACAGATATAGCCTTTTTAAGAAGTCAATACGGGTGGTTATATATCGACCTTGAGGAGCATATCGACTGAGGTCTGCGTCCTTGGTCAATATATTCTCTCTGCCGATATAAACCCGTATCGACTATTTACAAAGGCTATATTTGTTGAATATGATTAGCTTCCATCAGGAATATTTTGCTAAAAAATCAGGAATATTGGGTGCAACATCCTACAGATTTTGTAGTGAAATAAAAGACCCTTCAAAATGTAGCTTTCAAGTAGACATACTGTCAGAACTGAATTGTTTCTTCATGTGTGATTATCTTTTATCTGTGATAACGAAAACCTGCAAATTTTGGCAAAAATCTATATAATCGGGTTTGATTGGATAATGAAATGATGTTCACACAGATAATCGATTATTCAGGGAAAGGACTGACAGGTTTTCTGTTAGCTGCACGAATAAACAGTTACGCGTACCTCCAGGATACGTTAACAAACTGTTACGTGTACCTCTAGTGTACGTGAACAAAGTGTTACGTGTACCTCTAGGGTATGTGAACAAAGTGTTACGCGTATCTCTAGGGTACGTGAACGACCTGTTACGCGTACCTCTAGCGTACGTGTAACAAAATGATTTATGACCCGAACGGCCCTTCATAGAATACTACTGGTCAAGAAAAAAATCAGAAACAGCACTCCTAACTGGTCGCATGAACTTACTCCATTAACATGAATTGAAATCCGTATTTGTTTTAGAAGTCAGACCATCAGAATGTATTTTTGTATCCCTTGCTGTTTAAAGAAGTAAGAACTTTCTCGAATTTGAATATATCAATTTTTCATTAACGAAATTACAAAAAAATTTCGAATGAGAATTAACAAATGATATTTTTTT